CCTTCCAGGAGAAGGCTGGAAGCTGAGCTCTGTACAAAGCAAGACAAACAGTCTCCATCTTGACACAGCACCCTCCCTCCACCAGGGCACATTTGGCAATGATGGAGACATTTTTGGTTGTCACAAATGTGGAGAAAGGGGGTTGCTACTGGCATTTAGTGGGTACTGCTAAACATCCTATCATGCACAGGACAGCCTACACAATAAGGAATTACACCCTGCCCAAAATGTCAACAGTGTCAAGGCAGAGAAACTCTGTAATATGGGAGGGTAGACTCTCCTAATGCAAAGATTGCAGATTGTGATGCCAGGCACAAAATCTAGGGTTTGTATCTTACTAACTCTGTGACTTTGGGCAAATTACCTAACATTTTAAAGCCTTAGTTATCACATCAATAAAAATGGAGCTAAATAATAGCAGCTACTTCAGAAAATTGTTAAGATTAAACGAAATAATTTATGTACAGCTTTGACATATGGTAAACAATCAATAAATAATAGTGGAATGAGTGAATTATTATTATGTAAGGGCTTATTATCTCTGACATAAAGGAAAGGCATTCCTAGTATAAAATTCTGCTTTGGAATTGTGGGGTATGGGAAAATAGAGGGAACTCCTAAGCTGCTTAGTTATAAGATCTCCTGGAGTCTGCTGAAGAAACTATTTAGCATAGTGGTAAAGAGTGTAGACTTGGAACCAGACTGCTTGGGTTCAGATCCTAGCTCTCCTTCTTACCAGCTATGTGGTCTTGGGCAAAATACTTACCTTCCTTATGTATCAGTTCACCCAACTATAAAATGGGAATATTACCATCTACTTTTGGAGGATTAAGTTATAATAGCTAACCCATTAAGCATCCAAGATAGCATCTGGTACACAGTAAGCATTCAACAAGTGTTAGTCTCCATCCTTCTTGTTATAAGGCTGAGGGGGAGACTCCAGACACTAAGTAAGTAAGTCTATCATTACAGCAAAGAAAAAACCACAGAAACTCTATAATTAATGGCCAAGAAGTCCCAGAGGTAGGTGTCATATCTGGAAGGGTAAAACCCAGAGGACATGAGGCAGCAGCTATAAGAACAGGTGCATGAGGCACAGCTGTGCACATAAAAGCAACAAAAGACAGGGAGTAATGATTTCCAAAACAAACCAAGATGTGCTCCTGGGCCAGGGAAAGTGGGCCACAGCTGGCTGACACCCTGTGGTGGTAGTGGCTCATTACCAAAGCTGCCCCGTACAGGGCAAAGGCACTGCCAGCACCCAGGTGAGTGGGGTGGTATTCAAGACCTTCTCACAGGCAATGTGGAGAGCTCAGCACTTTTCCAAACACCTTCTGGGCAGCCTAGAAATGAGAGCCAAGCCCTTTTAGCAGCCTGGCCCTCCATGCTAGGAGCAGCATCGGTGATTTATTCTATGCCAGCTTAGTCCCCAGGGCAGAGCTTTTAACTTCAGTGCCATGGACAGATCTAATGGGAATGTGGGTGTTTTTATGGACAGGCTCCAGAGCCCTCCTTAGATTCTCAATCCAAAAACAGGTTAATAACCACTACTCTAGGAAGTTATAATGGCAAATGCTTAAGTCTGCGCGGGCTCAGCACTTTTTTCCTCCATTTTCCATCAGACTATAAGCTTCTCCACTAAACTATACTTGCCTTTAGAACAAAAACTATAAAAACTAGTTGTGTGTCTCATTCACTATTGTAATTCCATGTCTAGCACAGTGTTAAAAAATTAAAATATTTTTAAAAACAAATAACTAATTAATTGGCCTAATTAACTAATTGGTGCTTGTGTCCCTAACAGCATCACTTCCCCTGCTGCCTTCTCCTCCGACTGGCTTAAAACATTTCAGAATCTCATATCTGTAAACAACAAGGTGTGGGAGTTTCCCAAATTTTGGAAGCTCAGAGTGACAAGTCTACAGTCTAACAATACAATTATCTTGGGGAGATAAATCAGACCTTTCTCCCAGTTCCTTCCACCAATCACCATTGCTATAATAATAATAAAAACAGAGACTAGCTGCCTCAAATTCCTACCCTGCTCAAAGCCAACAACACACAATTACAGGCAGATACCCATGTTCACACAGATAAGTCACTTCATGGGAACATGCCAGCTCAGGTAAGTCAGTTCTGTGAATGTACTAATTTGAGAAAGAACTAGGTTTGAGGACAATCAGAAGGATGACCAGAGCCAACCCCAAAAGCTAGAAACAAGTAAGGAACATTGCAGACACTGCCCACGCTGTCTGACAGGCGGTACTGACACTCAGCAGCATGACATCGCACACGTGCCACCCCCAGCCAACTCCTCACCCACATGAGGACTGCTTGGGGCATCCCACAGTGGGAGCTCAGGGGCTGCTGGATTGGATCACTTTTCTATTTTTGGAGCAGCCTATACTCCCCTCGGCCTTCTAGCTTACAAAGCCAGAATGGGCAGGATGTCTACTCAAGGAGGAAAAGACAATATGCTCTTGACTCTTTCACTGCCAAGATGGGGCCCAAGGCTCTGAGGGTAGTCTTCTCATGCGAACACCCCTGGTCTATAGAGATAGAGTGAAATGAAAACCCCAAACCTCACTCCCTACTAGAAGACAGAAAATTCACCTTAATCTCTATATTTCATCCTATTTTGATCCAGTTCTGGAGCCCATGTTCTAGTTGACCTACACAGAAAAATCCTCCACACAGGGTGGGAGGAGCTCCTACTGGCCAGTTCCCAACAGAGCGCTGAAGGACTGAAGATGTGACTTGAGGAGTGTGGGTGGCACTATGGAAATCAGAAACCAGGAATGGAAGTTGCCTGGCAAGAGACTGTAGTCATGAGGCTGGGAGGAAGGCAGAACTTAGGAGTCCCCAGGTGCCCTGAAATGGGCTCCCATGTCCTGAGAACAATCTGGACCCAAAGGACTTCATGGCTCTCCAGGCCAACACAGTCTTCTAGCTTCCTTCTTCTCATTCAGACTCCCCAAAATTAGAGCCCTTATATGACATCAGAGCACATTCAATTCAAATCTCTCCTTTTAAGGATAAGGAAACTGAGGCTCAAGGTCATACAGTGAGAGAAGGGCAAAGCAAGGACCTGAACCTGGCTCTCTGGATTTAAGTCCAGGACTCTTCCCTGTAAACCCTACAGAGTTCTAAGCACCGTTCCCTTCCAGGTTTTTCTCCATCTGTGACTGCCACCAATCTTTCCAGCCCCAATTCCCATACCATTACCCCAACTCCGCAAAGCTTCGTGCTGCCCCAAGCTCACTGCGGAAGAGATTCCTCCACGTGCTTCTCTCCAAACCTCCTACACACCCAATTCCTCCTTTCAGCTTCATCCCGGGTTACGGTGCCCTGCGCCCTCCTCCAAAATTGCACCCTCCTTCCTCGCTGGCACCCCCAGCGGACAGCCGGGCCCCGCCCGCCCGTGAGGCCCCGCCCCTTGCCGTCCCCCCACTTCCCCCGGCGCCAGCACTCACGCCCCGGCCCCTCTCACCGGTAAAGCCGCTTAGTGTGGAGGACCTTTGCTTCGGGCTCACTGCTCTCCCCTGGGGGGGGGCCTTGGCTCATGGTGCCCGGGTCCGGGGGCAGCTCCCGGTCACAGGCCCCCGCCACCCACCACTACTGCCACCACTGCCGTGTCCGGCCAGAGCCGCAGCCGCCACCGCCGCCGGCCCTGCTCGGCCGCCATCGCTGTGAGGCGGCTGCCCGCGACAGCTCCTCCTCTGCCTGCCAAATCTCGCGATACCAGCCGCACAGTTGCGGGCCAGTGGCCTGCTGCTACCAAATCTCGCGAAACTAGTTTTCCCTCCCGGGAAGTTGCCAGAACTAACTCTGGGCAGATTGGCCTCTTTCCGGCTTCTCCAAACCCTTGCGTAAAACTTTATTGGCAAAGCTGTCAAAAAACTGACAGTGGACCCAGTGAGGCGGCTGAAGCCTCACTGTATCGGAGCAGGTGCGCTCACAGCTAGGAGCGTGACGTTGCTTTGTGCTGTAGTGGTCATTTGGTCCACCCTTCTGCACCATCACCCCCGTCCCCCATTTGAGCCAAGCCTCTTTCAGGTTACTGGTGAGAATGACTCCATGTCTCCCTTTTCCCCATAATTTAAACAAACAAACAAAAAATGCATGTGAAAGTTTCCTTGGAAAGGTTTAAGCGTCACATAGGACTAAAGCCTTGGAAGACATGACTGTTGTACAAGCGCCTCTGCCCTTCAGTTCCTCCCAAAGATTTCCAGCTTATATGTACATCTCTCACTAGCCCAGCAAACATTTATTGAACTCCTGCTGTCTTCCAGCCACAGTGCTGGATTCTGGGGACACAGATGATCAATCTAGACACTGTCCCTGCCCCCACAAAGCTGAAATGACTTTAGTTATTAAGGTCTCATAGGAATGAGAAACTACTCCCTCACATTTCTGACCCTTGATCTTTACATTGTAAAGTTCACCTCCTATTTAACTTGGATTCCTATTGCTCTCTTAACCTTAAACCTGAGCTAAAAAGCCAGGGGTTTTTGTGCCTTTGTACACATTGTAACGGGAACATAAATTCCCCTTCTACCCCTATGCTCCTGGCTCTGGCCACCCACCTTCTTTCTGTTCCTGAAACAGCCTAAGTCTTTCCCACTCGTTGGTCTCTACTTGCTGTTCCTTTGCCTGAAACACTCATACTTCTGATTTCCCTTCAGGTCCCAGCTCAAATATCACTTTATCAAAGAGGTATTCCCTACTGAAAGGTGATTTAATTGCTGGTGATTTAGATGCTAGGCTTCTTTATTATCTGTTACCCCAATAGAACATAAGCTCCTCGAGGGCAGAAATCTTGACTGTCATTGTGTCTTCTTCTGTGTCTGTGCCTAGCACAGTGCCTATCTAAAAACTGGTGTGCAATAAATATTTACTGAATGAATAAGTATACAAATTCCATCTCTTTTCTGGGTCTCCCAACCTACTCCAAGCACCGTTTGGTGCACAAATCCACTCTTCCCCCTCTGCTTTCCTGGGCTGGGAGTTCTTAAGCATTCTAGGTGCCTAGAATACGAACTTGCATTTATGCCCAGCTGCAGCCCCACTTTCAGAAAGGATGACGTCCTCCTCCAATGCTTTTTCTGTCGGCAGATTCAGCAGGGCGGGGCCTGCCCCTTTAATCTGGGCCCCACCTGCTCTGGTCAGACAGGTTTGGAGACACAGGTAAAGGGAGGGAGAGGAGAGAAATACTTACAGAGCTAGCAGGGAGCTGGGCAGCTTCTTCCTGGACACTGGGGACCCTTCACCTCTCTCCAGATGAAAAGTAAGAGGGTGTCATGGGTCCAAATGGCAAGGGTAGGAGGGCCTTTGAGGAGACAAGGGAGGGGAATCAGCCCCATCCAGAAGCAGTGAGGTGGAGGGCAGCAGGGAGGGGAGAAAGGCAGGAGAGAAGGCATGGGAAACAGCCATGATTAGACCTAAAAGTCAGAATGAACAGCCCCAGGCCCTATGGAGATGGATGAGGTGGGCTAGTGAGGAGTTTGGAAACTGACCAAGTACCAATGAAAGGACAGGGTACCCTGCAACTCTCAGCTCCTTGGGACAGATTTGTGGGCAAATCACTGGTATCAGTTGCCATGAGGGTTCCAGGCAGGGAACTGCAGAAAGAAGGGGAAGTGGGATGGTGGAGGGGCAACTTCTCTGTCCACAGGAGGATCCTTGGAGGGAAAGAAACTCTTGGCAAAGTTCTAGACACCTCCTCTTCCTCCCATTCCTGTATTAGGGTGGCCATGACTCCAGGGGTTTTGGTGGAGGGGGTAGAAGGCATGGGTGGGGACTGACTGAGGTCACAGCTGCCAGGGCCTGTGCCCCCTGACTCACCTCCTGCTGGGCGGCATTTGGTGTTGAAACTGCTGCCTCCATTTCAGCAGCTCACTTCCCTCCACCTCCCTCCGTTTCAACACCTTCCTCTGCACCATGTTCTCTCTAAAGTTCCAGAAGGAGCTAAAGCCCATAAGGCCAGTTGCCCTGGAGAGTTCCAGTTCTGTCAACTCGTCCTGTGGGCCAGAAGACAGAGGTTTCAAACAGCTTTCCTCTCCTCCTTCCAGGATGACATGACCTTGTGGTAGATCCCAGAACAGAGGTCCCAGGATGACAGAACCTGAGAGCCTGGCCCTGCAGGAAGTGAAGGGGTCCGAGGTCCCGGAGAAGAGCCCACCTGAGGCCTTGGTCCCCAATGGCCGGCAGCCAGAAGGGGAAGGTGGGGGAGAGTCCCCCGGGGCTGAGTCCCTCAGAATGGAGTCTTCAGCTGGGTCTCCCACAGCCATAGAGGGGGCTGAGGATGGTTTAGACAGCACAGTAAGTGAGGCTGCCACCTTGCCCTGGGGGACTGGCCCCCAGCCCAGTGCTCCATTCCTGGATCCCCCTGGCTGGCGGAACATTGAGCCAGAGCCCCTTAAGTCAGAACCGACGACCAAGCTAGAGGAGCTGCCCGAAGATGATGCCAACCTGCTGCCTGAGAAGGTAGCCCGTGCCTTCGTGCCCATCGACCTACAGTGCATTGAGCGGCGGCCCCAGGAAGACCTCATTGTGTGCTGTGAGGCCAGCGAGGGCGAGCGCCGGACCTTCCTGCCCACCCGGGTCACCCACCCCGAGCCCCCTGAGTGCAAGTGGGCCGAGGCAGTGGTGAGGCCACCTGGCCGTTCCTGTGGGGGCTGCGGGAGCTGTGGAGGCCGTGAGGGGCTGAGGGCTGTGGCCTCTGTGGGAGCTGCACTCGTCCTCTTCCCCTGCCTACTGTATGGGGCATATGCCTTCCTGCCCTTTGATGCCCCACGGCTGCCCACCATGAGTTCCCGCCTGGTCTACACGCTGCGCTGTGGGGTCTTTGCCACCTTCCCCATCATCCTGGGTGAGCCTGGGCCCCATGAGAAGAGAGGGAGCATCTGGGAAGTGGACTCGGGCGGATTGCTAGGTCAGGAGTTCTAAACCAGCCTGAGCAAGAGCAAGACCCGGTCTCTACTATAAATAGAAAGAAATTAATTGGCAACTAATATATATAGAAAAATTAGCCGGGCATGGTGGCACATGCCTGTAGTCCCAGCTACTCAGGAGGCTGAGGCAGTAGAATTGCTTGAGCCCAGGAGATTGAGGTTGCTGTGAGCGAGGCTGACGCCATGGCACTCACTCTAGCCTGGGCAACAAAGCGAGACTCTGTCTCAAAAAAAAAAAAAAATCAGTCAATCAAATCAAATGCGAAGTCTGGACCAGACAATCACTGAGTCTTCCTTTAGCCCTTGCTGCTTCTTACTGCTTAAGCTAACTCTATCTGAGATCAGTATTCCCCACAGTCAGAGATGAGAGTCTGGGTTACCTGAGTAGGAACATATTTATCTTGGGGAAAATCTACTGGGAGAAAATACAAGCGCTGCATGATGGTCAGGAGGTGGTGGGATAGCTAACTACTAGATTGCAATCAGAAGTGACAGGAAGACTAATTTTAGCTCAATAGGAAGAATGTTTTAGCAATTAAAAGCAACCTGGAATCCTGTATTGAAAGTAAGAAGAGGAAATGTATTAGGGAAAAATGGAAGACCTACACTTGGGTTCAGAATTCAAAGGAGCCTTCTGGGTTATCGGTAGTCCACATGAAAACAACCCTAAGGATTTTAGGTGACAGCAAACTCTGAATGAAAGGAGAGTAAGGGAGGCTGCCATGAGGGCCAATGTGGCCTTGGTTTGTAGGAAGAGGACAGTACCTTTGGACTAGGGCCTCTCATTGACAAAATGGAGAGAAGAGCAGTACCCTCACCAGCTCCTTCCCATTGTCAAGCAGGAGAATTTTCTGCCCAGGGGGAGAAGCCAGGACAGTGAAGGGAGGAGGGGATTCTAGCACTCTGGGAGGTCAAGGTGGGAGGATTGCTCAAGCTCAGGAATTTGAGACCAACCTGAGCAAGAGCAAGACCCCATCTCTACTATAAATAGAAAGAAATTAGCCACTAAAAATAGGAAAAATTAGCTGGGCATGGTGGTGCGTGCCTGTAGTCTCTCAGCTACCTGGGGGTGAGGCAGGAGGATCGCTTGAGCCCAGGACCTTGAGGTTGCTGTGAACTAGGCTGACGCCACAGCACTCTAGCCAAGGCATGAAAGTGAGAGTCTGTCTCAAAAAAAAAAAAAAAAGTAACATAGTAGAGACTAGGGAGTGGGGGGAATTGAGGGCTGTTGTCAAATATCTGAATTTGTCCTAGGCAATTCTGGAGGCAGAGTCAGGACAGAAGCACAGTATGAAGAACTTCTAACAATAAGGACCTTTAGAAACTGAAACATACTGCTTTATATATGAGAATTGAGCATTTGGTCACAAGAGGTGGTCAGCTAGAGGCCAAAAAAGCTACCTGACCAGAGGAGTGGCTGCAATGGGTGCACTGATTTAGATGATACCTGAAAACATTCCAATGGTGTGTTGGAATGTGTCTCTGAAATCAACTTCCTATGGGAAGACATAAGAGCTGACCCCTGCTACCAGATGAGGTAAAGTGCCAGAGAGAAAGTGGATTCATCTCTCCAGGGCACACATTTGGGCCAATGTAGAATCCAGAAAGCTCCTGACCCTAGCTCTCCAAACATTCAGATGCCTGGGTCCTCTAGTACCATCACCTCTCCCATCCCCCACCCAGCCCCAACTACCGGGAGATGGCAAAGAGACCAGTGAGCAGAGGGAGCAGCTTAGGGCATCCTGGGGCAGGTAGGTGGAAAGCACGGCCAGGTTGAAGAAGTAGAGGATGAAGAGCTGGACCGACTGGGCACATATCGCCGGTGGATCTCCACCTCCCGCCGTGGCTCCCAAAGGGCCGAAGAGCAGAAAAGCATAACAGGCTCAGCCCATACACCAGGAGCCCTGGTGGGGTTGGGGAACACGGGGTCAGAATAGGCAGGAGGGTGCAAGAGACCGCAAGCTGGGGGCAGAGTTTGTGGTGGATGGTGCACAGGAATGGGCTATCTACATAGTGGGGTGGAGTGGTCCTGGGAGGAGATGGGCATGCAGAGGGGCAGGGTATAAGAGGCCCTGAAGGGCCCAGGCTGAGTGAAGGGAGCCCTCCTGCTCCCAAGCCAGGCGGGCCCTGCTCTCCTCAAGTCCACTTCCCAGATGCTCCCTCTCTTCTCATGGGCCCAGGCTCACCCAGGATGATGGGGAAGGTGGCAAAGACCCCACACGCGC